TCTGATGACTTGTTCTGTCAGGTGGAGTGGATATTGCCCTAAACATAGTGGATTTTTAAAAATAAATCATCCAAATAAAAGACTTATCCTGAAATAAGACATGAAGGATTGAGTTATGGGTCATTATCACATGGTAGAACAATTCACTATTTTCTTAGTCCTGGACTCAGAAGATTCTAAGACATGAATGAGGGCATACTCTCTAAGTTGATAGCCTTGGAAAAGCAAAACAAAACATGTTCATATGTACAGTCATATGCCACTTAACAACAAGGATGTTATCTGATAAATATTTGTTAGGTGATGTTGTCATTGAGTGAAAATCATAGAGTGCACTTACACAAACCTAGATGGTGTAGCCTACTACACACCTAGGCTATATGCTATAGCCTCTTGCTTCTAAGCTACAAACTTGTACATCATGTTACTGTACTGAATACTGTAGGCAATTATAACACAGTGTGTGTATCTAAACTGTCTAAACAGAGAAGAGGTACAGTAAAAATACAGTGTAAAAGATAAAAATGTTACACATGTATTGGGCACTTACCATAAATGGATCTTGCAGGACAAAAAGTTGCTCTGGGTGTGTCAGTGAGTGAGTGGTGAACAAATGTTAAGGCCTTGGACATGACGATACACTGCTTGTATACTTTATAAGCACTGTGCACTTAGGCTACACTAAATTTATAGAAAAATATTTTTCATGCTGGGCATGGTGGCTCACATCTGTAATCCCAGCACTTTGGGAGGCCGAGGCAGGCAGATCACAAGGTCAGGAGTTCAAGACCAGCCTGACCAACATGGTGAAACCCTGTCTCTACTAAAATTACAAAAATTAGCTGTGCGTGATGGTGTGTGTCTCTAATCCCAGCTACTCAGGAAGCTGAGGCAGGAGAATCTCTTGAACCCAGGAGGTGGAGGTTGCAGTGAGCTGAGATTGCTCCACTGCACTCCAGCCTGGGTAACAGAGTAAGACTCAGACTCAAAGAAAAAAAAATGTTTCTTTCTTCAGTAATAAATTAACCTTAGCATACTGTCATCTTATTTTTTACTTTATAAACTTCAATTTTTTGACCTTTTGAATTTTTTGTAGTAACACTTAGCTTAAAACACACATTGTACAACTGCACAAAAATATTTTCTCTTTTTATATCCTCATTCTACAAGTATTTTTTTCTTTTTAAATTTTCCTGTGAAAAAGTGAGACACAAATGTGCATATTAGTTCAGGCCTACAGAGGGTCAGGACTATCAACACATCCAAGACATCAACAGGCAAAAATTTTTCAGCTCCATTACAATCTTATAGGCCCATAATTGTATATGCATTCCCTTGTTGACCAAAATGTCATTATGAGGTACATGATTGTATTTTTTTATTTGCATGCTAAATATATGAGTTAATGTGTCAATACACTAATATATCATATCCATTATAGAGCATATACAATTATTTTCAAGGGAAGTTTTAAAAATATTGTATGAAGAAGTTCTGACACTTTTTTCCCCACCCAGGGGAATAATTGTTTTTAATCACTTGAGTGTTATGCATTGCTCTTTAAAGATTCCTGCTCTCAGGAGCACCCTCAAGGTAGAATAGAAACTGTCACTCTCCCAAGGCCAGGACTTGCTTATGGAGATGCACTGGAGTCTGGGGTCTTGGAAAGCAGGCATATTTGATGGGCCAGTTTTATGTTAAGTTCTGTAGTCTCATTTCATCTGGCACCCTCAAGTTTTTTATTAAATACTACAGGCTGTCTTTTAACTTTGTTCCATAGTAGGAAAAGTTTGAGTTCAGGAAAAGTTCTGTGCCCAAAATTGCATCCAAGAATTGAAAAGGCAAATAGAAGCAGAGGTTATTTTTCATATACTTAACCGTTCATTTGACATACATTTAATGAGCACTTAGTGCGCCCAGCTCTGTTCTGAAAGCTGAGAGGTAGCCTGGAATAAACCATACAAAAATGGCTGCCTTCTCAGAGCTTATATTATTGTGGCGGGACCAGCATTCCAGGAAAGGGGAGCAACAAGGTCAGGGTCCCTGAGACAGAAACATGTCTAGTGTGCTGGGGAATAAAGAAATCACCATGGTTGAAGCAATTTGAGTTTAGGTAAGAAGAACTTTAGGTCAGAAAAATAAAAGGTCGGGCAGGGTGCATGGGATTGGGGTCACAGATTGTATAGGGCCATGTGAATCAGTATAAGAAATTTAGCTCTTACTGTTAGGAATTTGAGAAACCATTGTAGAGTTTTTGCAAATAAGTAACTTCATCTAACAGTATGTTAACTGGATAATTCACGTGGCTAGGTTGAGAATAGACCAGGGCAATAGCAGTGTACAAGGACAGAAGCATGAAGATATGAAGATCAGTTAGGATTCTTTATAAAAATTAAAGTAAGGTATTGCAAATGAGAGAGATGATGTTGGCTTGGGCTACATTGACAGCAGTGGTCAAATTCCGTTTGAATTTTGGAAATAGTGCTGTCAGGGTTTGCTAACTGATTAGATGTGGCCTTTGAGAGAGAAAAGTCAAAGATGACATCAAAGATTTCGCCTTGAGCAACTAGGAGAATAGTGTTAATCTATCTGAAGTAGGAAAGATAGTAAGAGAACGGAAAGTGAGGTGACCAGTTTAGACATGTTTAGAGTGAGATGTTTATTGAGTCTATAATATAAACAACTAAATTCAGGTATTGAATAGGCAAGTGGATATACCAGTTGGGAGTTCAGGAGAGAGATTATACTGGAACTCTCAGTTTGAGTGTCAGTAGAATATAGATGGCATTTAAAGCCATAGGACTGTGGTAACCCAGAAGGGAATATGGGTAAAATAAAAAAAATTTTGAATGTATTTTGTAGTTACAATTGACAGGATTTACTGACTGTCTAAATGTAGATATAAAAGATAAAATGTGAGACCGCCTTTAAGGATTTGGAAAGAATTAAAAAAGCTGCTGGTGGATTGACTCCAGGGATTTCCAATAATTGAAGGTAAGGAAGAACCAATAAATTGTATTGAGGGAAAATGTTTAAAAAGGTAGGAATCAAACCAGGCGAGTGTGATATCTTGGAAGCCAAGCCAAAAAAAAAAAATGTTTCAAGGAGTAAGCAATGGTCAACTGTGTCAAATGCTGCTGTATTTACATGAAAACTCAGAAATGACCATTTGCTTTCATGTAATAGAGATCATGGTCAATGTGGCTTAAAAGTAGCATCAAGGGCCGGGCGCGGTGGCTCATGCCTGTAATCCCAGCACTTTGGGAGGCCAAGGCAGGTGGATCACGAGGTCAAAAGATTGAGACCATCCTGGTCAACATGGTGAAACCCCATCTCTACTAAAAATACAAAAAATTAGCTGGGCATGGTGGTACATGCCTGTAATCCCAGCTACTCAGGAGGATGAGGCAGGAGAATTGCCTGAACCCAGGAGGCGGAGGTTGTGGTGAGCCGAGATCGCACCATTGCACTCCAGCCTGGGTAACAAGAGGGAAACTCCATCTCCAAAAAAAAAAAAAAGTAAGGTCAATTGAGTAACAGGAGCAAAAAGGAGCAAAAAGGCAATGATGTGAACTACTTTAAGTGAGAACGGAGGGAGAAAAATTGTAGACAAAGATTATAAAATTTTACGCAATCCTACTGAGGAATTTTGCCACAAAAGAGAGCCATTGAGGATGGTTTCAGAGGAAGATGTGGTCAATCTTCCTGTTTGTTTTTTTAGGATGAGGTAAATACCAGTATGTATTTATGCTAATAAGAATTAGCAGAGAGGGAAACTTTAAAAATACATATGAAAGCAGGGAAGAAGAGTTTACTGAATAATGTTTTTGGATAGGCTAGAGAGTATGGGGTCCAGTATATTCAAGAATGGTGCTGACCTTTGCTAGGAACATGAACATATCATGAACATACATGTTCATCATATGTGAAAAAGAGAGATATAAAGTTTTTTTTTTTTTTTTTTTTCCCACAAGGTTCAGATAAGTGGGTAGATATTTTGGGAGCTGGTGGAGTTCCTCTTCTGATTGGATCTTTTGCTCGATGGTTCAGGAAAAAAGGCCATGAGCCAAGGAGGTGTGAAGAGAAAGGAAAAATAATAGACCACTTGAGGTGGATTTTCATGAACTGGAAATGGAAGATGGCAGGACTGTGCTTTTTCCTTTGGTCACGTTTCAGTGGCTTAGGGCAGAACAAACAGTTTAGGCTTTTGGTTTAGGCACAGATAGGTAAGAAAAAGAAGGTGGGGAAACTTGTTGAAGGTTTCTGCATGGGAATGATCATGACGATTGGTTGTGAAGTTTAGTTAAGTAGTAAAGTGAAGACACAGGGTGTGGTGGTCCAAGTCAGGGAAAAGAGGTTAAGACTAACCAAGTATAGGTACAGTGAATTAGATTTTGAAAGGACTTTTGGAGTTTTGTGACTAGACAAAGTGAGCTGGAATATGAGAAGTGATTCACGTTTAAAAAGTATATGAAATTGAGATTATTGAGGAATTGCAGTTATTGTGAAGACAATTTGTAGCATGTAGCCTGGGAGGTGAGAGTCTGGGAGGAGGTTGGAGGCAAGATCACAGGAAGAGATCCATGCCTATCCCCATCACAAGGACGGTAAATATCAGTTTGCAAGACTTCAAGACTTTAGATCTATTTTTGAAGGAGAAGGGGCTATTTGTAAGAAAGCTGGTAAGTCTCTATTCTAAGGTTCGTGATCTAATAGGAAGACTGCAGGTGTGGCCATCAGGCCCAAGTCCTAGGTGAGAACGAAGGTCTGCGAGCCCCTAGGACCAGATCATAAAGACCCTAACAGCCGTTAACAACCATAACTGCCGTAACAACCATAACCGCCATAACGGCTGGCTGTGCGAGACTCTTCCAGCATTTCCACTTTTGTCAGGGACGGGAGAAAGCTGCGAGCCAGGTGCCAGTGCAGAGGGGTAGAGCAGACGGCTAGGAGCCTAAAGAACAGCCTGGTGTGACGCAAAGACTGCAGCCTGCGCCGCCATGAATAAGCTTTTCAGCTGCTGGAAAAGGAGGCATGAGACCCCGAGCCGTACCTCCTCAGACCTGCCCATAGGCCAGACCTACAAGCTTCTAGATAAGGATGTAAAGAAACTTCACAGAGCTGCTTCACTCGGGGATTTGAAGAAGCTGAAGAAATACATTCAGGTCAAGAAATATGATGTGAACTCGCAGGACGAAGAATACAGGTGACCGGAGCTGAAGAGCCAGTGGGGGAGGACGGGCTGGGGCGGCTCCTCCAGCCAGAAACAATACAAGTAGGGGCCGTTTGACGCTGGTTGTCACTCCGGGTTTCTCAGAGAGGAGAGATTGCATGGTAACCATTAGCAGAAGGTCCCACTCTAACTTTCGGCTTTTTATTTGATTTTTAAAATATGCTTACTTGAATGTTTTCTGCCTTTCCTGAATCCATCCCCTCTTCTCACCACCTTAGTCTCCACTGGGCAGTCCATCTTCTCACCACCTTGCTGTTTTACTTCTTAGTATTGATTGTCCCCAGGCACTAAGCTGTTCAGTTTTGCTAATGGGAGAATAGGAAAAGAGGCGACTCCCTAGAATGTTGGTTTGTCAGATTTTAACACTTGAAAACATCAAAACAGGTAACTTTTTAATGTTTTGAAAAAGAAACAAGTTTATTGATACTTATAAACTTATTTGGACAGAGGATGATTTTCTTTTCCCTTCTTTGCTACTCATTCCTCTTCACCAATTTGCTTAAATTTGAATTCATTTTCTCTCCAAATATATGCTGCAAATATGGGTAACAACTGTATAAATGTTTCAGATTCTGGGACAACATGATGAATAAGCCAGAGTATTCATTAACCACACTCATTACCATTGAACTTGTCAAGTAACAAAGGTCCCTTTAGCCCCTTGGGCCTTGATACATCACAGTCAGCAATATGAACTCTGTTACACCACTGTCCTTACTTTAGTTACAATTTAAAAGAGACTTTGAGAATCTCTAAACTCAGAGTTGCTGTTGAGCTGGGGTTAACAAACAGAGGAACTCCCCAGGTAGCTGTGTACCCAGGTTAGCTTTATAACAAGTACAGTTTGTAGGCTCTATCTTGGCATACTTGAGAACACAATAGCTGCTTCAAAACAGGCATTTGAACTCGATGTTTAATCAAATTCTCATCTGCCAAAAAATGTGCGAATTTTTTTTTTTTTTTTTTGAGGCGGAGTTTCACTCTTGTTACCCAGGCTGGAGTGCAATGGCGCGATCTCGGCTCCCCGCAACCTCCGCCTCTTGGGTTCAGGCAAATTCTCCTGCCTCAGCCTCCTGAGTAGCTGGGATTACAGGCACACGCCACCATGCCCAGCTAATTTTTTGTATTTTTAGTAGAGACGGGGTTTCACCATGTTGACCAGGATGGTCTCGATCTCTTGACCTTGTGATCCACCCGCCTCGGCCTCCCAAAGTGCTGAGATTACAGGCTTGAGCCACCGCACCCGGCCAAAATGTGCGAATTTTATGCTGGACAGTTATTTTTATAAGAGCACTCAACATGATATCTATTCTCTTTTGATGTTTTTTTTTCCATCTTAAAAGATTTTTAAGTGTTAACATATCACTGTTGATTATAGGTACAATGTTTTACAACAGATCTCTAGAGCTTACATTACTTGACTGAAACTTGTTCTTTGATGGTAACTTCCCATTTCTGGGTCTAAGATCATGTCATTTGCAAACAAACAGTTTTGCTTCTTTCTTTCTGATTTGGATGTTTTTTATTTCATGTCTTGTCTATTTCCTCTGGCTGGAACTTCCAATACTATGGCTAATAGAAGTCATCATCCTTTCTTAGCTGTTGATCGCAGAGGAAAAGCTTTCCTTTTTTTTATTATTATTATTGAACTTGATGTTAGCTATGGACTTTCATGCATAGCCTTTATTATGGCTAGGTAATTTCTTTCATCCTCACCCAGTTTACTTCTCTGATTTTACGCCCTGCAACTCTTTCATTTGTTTACCTCCAGCTACACTGCCTTCTTACTGTTCCACAGAAATGCAAGACATGCATTTAGGGTTTTTGGACTTGCTGGAACTCTGCCTGGGGTGCTTTTCCCTCAGTCATATGACTTGCTCTTTCACTTCCTTTAGGTGTTATTCAATTGTTACTTTAGTAGTGAGGCCTTCCCTGGCTATTCTTTATCTATAATTGTACCCTTTTCCTCTCACTGGCATTTCCTACACTTCTTCCCTGCTTTTCTCATTAGAACTTAATATTGTCTGGTGTACTTTGTATCTTTTAAGTTGTTTTGTTTACCTCTTCTACTAACATGTATGATTTATTAAAAAAAGGTATTTCCATATATTTTGTTCACTTATATATCTTCATCACCTAGAACCCTGCTTAGCCATAGTGAGTGCTTAATATTTTTCAAATAAGTGAATGAAAGGATGAATACATACATACATACACATATAAATAGGATAATTTAAAGATACTATTCAGCAATAGAAGCAATGAATTATGGATATATGCAAACATGGGTGAATCTCAAAAGTGTCATACTAACTGAAAGAAATCAGGCACAAATGCCTACGTTTACATGAAATTATAGAAAAGGTAAAGGCATAGTAGCATACAGGAAACAACAAAGGAAACTGCAGTCCAATATTCCTGATGAATATAAGACACAAAAATCAGCAAAATACTACCAAACCAAATCCGGCAGTACGTCAAACAGCTAATTCAACACAATCAAGAGGGTTTTATTTCAGGTATACAAGGATGATTCAACATATGCAAATCAACAAGTGTGATTCATTACATAGACAGAATTAAAAACAAAAACCAGATGATCATCTCAAAAGTTGCAGAAAAAGCATTTGATAAAATTCAACATCCTTTCATTGTAAAAACCCTCAACAAACTAGGCATTGAAGGAACATACCTCAAAATAATAAGGGCCATCTATAACAAACACACAACCAACATCATACTAAATGTGAAAAAGTTGAAAGCATTCCTCCTAATAATTGGAATAAGACAAAGATGTCTACTCTCTGTTCTCACCATTTCTATCCAGCATAATACTGGAAGTCCTAGCCAGAAAAATCAGGCAGGAGAAAGAAATAAAAGGCATCCAAATTGAAACAGAGGATATGAAATTATCTCTATCACATGGATGTAAAGGTGGAAATAATAGACATTAGGAGCTCCAAATGGAGGAAGGGTGGGATGGGCATGAGAGTTGAAAAACTACCTGTGAGATACTATGTTCACTGTTTGGGTAATGAGTTCAGCAGAAACTCAGCATTATGCAAGAAACCCATGTAGCAAATCTGCATATGTGCACCCCAAATCTAAAAAAAGTAAGGTGACATAATGCAAATTACTAGTTACCAGTGGTTTTAGATATGGAGGATGGGAAAGAATTGACTATTGACCATACATTTATTGGTCAACATTCATAAAATTGTATAATTTTATTATAAATTATACCTCAATAAAGCTGAATGAAAAAAATCTCATATTTCTGTTTGAACGTGTGTGTGTGTGTGTGTGTGTGTGTGTGTGTGCACGTGTAGAGAAAGAGAGATTGAAAATGAGAAAGATAAAATCTTAAAGGACATATACTTAAATCACTGTTTCTTAGAGACATGAAATGTGGGCAGAGGAAAGTGGATAGAGTGAAATGGTTATTGAGAACTATTTGTTTTGTTTGAATTTTTAATAAGGTAAATCACAGTGTTTTATCAAATGTTTCAAAGACTCATTTTGGAAGCATTTCGCTGAAGGTCTCTGAGGTCTTATGCAAGCATATTTTCATGTTAATAGCCTAATAGAAAAATATTGTTAGATATTTTTTCTAGTAAAAACAATAATACTGAAAGTTGGAATTTCTGGTCAAAAAAAAAAAGGACAGGGGAACTAGCATAAGCAGACCAGCTTGCCATGTATGTACCTATGCAGCAATCCTGTGTGTTCTTCACATGTACCCCAGAACCTAAAGTGCAACAAAATATATGTTTAAAAAAATTAAGATTACTATCCATTAATGATGTCTAAGAAATACTGTGACAGTTTATATATGAACATGAAAAAACAAATGTGAAGAGAAAACACAAAAAGTAAACAAATAAAAATAAAGTAAAAAAAAATACAAATAAAGTCGTGTGTTAACAGACCCAGAAAATACATAGCCTGAGAGAGATAAATGTTTTTCCTGATCTTGATCCCATAGATTAAGGCTTTTGTTTACTCAATGAAATGTAAATACTTAATGAAGTTTAATTTTGTTAAAAAAATAAAAATAAAATACGATATCACACACACACACACACACACACACACACACACACACACACACACAGCTCTTACTGGAAAGAAAGTAAATGGATTCCCAATAGGTCCTCCAAAAATGTCTGCTGCATCCTGCTGTATACCTCACTCTTTCACCAACTTGACTCTAAAGCCTTCAGTAATAAAGCTCATAAATTTCATGACTCATATTAAGCTCCAAGAACTTAGGAAATCAGCTGTGAATTCAGTAAAATAAAATAGCCATGAAAGATTCCACTTTCTAAGGAGGTATTAAACAATATAGCCTGGGGTCATTTGCATAAAGTCTGAAAACAAGAACTAATCTAGGTCGAGCATGTACGAAACACTAAAAGGTTCATTGTATTCACTCAAACCGTCAAGAGAATCTTGCAAAGAAGGATTTTACTTAGAATATTTGACAGCCTTTTAAAGAAGTCATCTTAGTTTAAAAAAACAAAATGAAACAATTTTAAAGACGTACAGAGTTAACATTTACATTCATTTATTTTAAATTTTAGAGCTCACAATTGGAGCAAGCAGCAAAAAAAAAAAAAAAAAATTTGTTGTGACCACTTATATGTTTACACATATAATGTAAATGCTTCAAGGCCAATATGAATGTTTTCCACCTAATGTCAAAAACAAAAACAAAATGTTTCTATTTTTTGGAACAGCTGGATGCAAAAAGTATATTTACAGATATCTTAGAGAAACATTTTTAAATCAATATTATTCTATTTGTCAAAAAATCCTTAACTTTTGCCAATATATTATACTCCCAATTTAAGACTTTAGTTTATATTGTTACTTCTTCTTTTTTTTTTTTGATGCTCCCAAGTTTTATTACAAACAGAGATGTAATTACAGAGCCTAAAGAAGAACATAATGGCTATTCCCATTTGCTTCCC